CACACACGTACACACATTACTTCATTACTTGCCTGGCTCCGTCTCATCTTCGTGCCTGGGTGGTAAGTCTCTGGTCTTGCTGGACTCCCTGCTGCTGGGGGTCCTTGACCTTGGGGATCTTGACCTTGACCTCCTCCTACCTAGTGGGGACTTGGGTCGCTGTCGGTCAAACTCCCTGTCCCCTCTATACCTGTCACCTCCTCTCTCTCCTCTGTTATCTCCTCTACCTCTATCCATATCCCTATAATCCCGGTCTCTATAGTCTCTGTCCCGAACTCCTGGTCCCGGGGCCTGGTCCCGGTAATCCCTGTCCCGCTGGTCCCGGTTGAAGTCTCTCTCCCCACCAGACCCACTGTCCTCCCTGCTACGATATTCTCTCCTGTCTTCAAATATCTCCCCAGGCTCACGCCCCAGTTCATGCTGCATGGCTGGGGGACCCAGGTGCTCCATGGGGGGCATATCCATAGGGGGCTGCATGGGGGGTATGTGTCCCGGTGGGGGGCCAGAATGAGGCGGTGCCATGCTTTGAGGCGGGGGTCCCATGTGGGGTGGAGGTACTCCAGGTGGTGGTACTCCGTGTTGGGGTGGTATCCCATGGGGTGGGCCCCCCATTGGTAGGGGTCCTCCCCCTGGGGGCATGGCACTCTGAGGGGGTGGCCCGTGGTGCATCCTCTCATCTATGTCTCTGAACCCCTCAGGGGGTGCAGCATGTGGGTGTTGAGGGGGGTGCTGCTGCTGCTGCATAGGGGGTGGCCCAACCTGGTGGGGTGGGGGGTACTCATGCCCCCCATGGGGCGGTGGGACCATCTGAAGCTGAGGGGGTGCCACTGTCCCAGGGGGCGGACCTCGCCGCGGATCCCAGTCATGTGGTGCTGGGGCATGTTCTAGGACCATCTGTGGTTGGAATTCATGGGATGGTAGCTGACTCTCCACAGCCACTGGAATGTACAGAATATTCAATGCATGATAGAGGGTGGGGAGGGGTTACATATAATATAAATCACTGTCAGCAAATATGAAGGAACTACACATATATTGTATAAGGTTGAAAATGCAACTTGATAAGCTGCAAGGTTACTTATGTCTACTGTCTCTTTCTTGGAGCATAAAGCTGGGATAGACATGTTAAATGTTTTAAAACTGACTTTTTTCTTTTGCTATTCTTTTTGTCAAACAATCTACATTGTTTGCTTTGGCTGCTGTTGAGGGGGTGGAGGGGGAAGGGTTAAAACTCTATATCCACAAACCTCAGATGAGCCATGAGCAGGGTGAACCCACCAAGTTTACACTACGTAGTCACAAAGACAAAAACTAACAAGCTTATGCCAATACACAAGCCAAGTTGTGGGGTCAGTGAGTGGGTATAGGGTTATGAGTAGGGCCTTGTAGTAGGAGGACAAAAGCAGTTCCTCTTGTCACAAACTCACCAGCTTTAGGTCTATGTACAGTCTGTTGAGGAGGAGGCGGTGGAGGAGGAGGTGATCCGTCTCTCCTTACACTGGTCAGAGAGCCAAACACTGCCAGACTGACGGTACTGTACCAGCCCTTCAGTATGAGGCCATCAGTGGGGACCGGCTCTGTGGGGTGGAACACATTCTCCTGGGTGCAGATGTAGTCCATGCTGAAAGTGGGACAATCAATGTATGAATAAATACTCTCACAAATACCTGCAAGTTATGAATGTTAATATAAAGATGATATTATACATGATAATTATCAAACACAAGCTGGAATGCTTTCTTACAATTAGTAACCTGGACATAGGCCTTCATAAGACCGATGTCAGTAGATGTTGTTGCTCAGTGACCGCTGGGCGGAATGGTGGCCAGGACTCTTTTATAAATGTCAGTTATATCGACCACTGGCGAACATTTTTGCTTCAAGATTATACTGTATAAAGACAATATTCAATTCCCTAAAGGATTTCAGTTGAGGGAAAGGTGGAAATAAAATCAAAAATTACAGTCATAACATAATTATAGTATTACAGTCCGTACTCTTTCCTCATTGGCAATATTTAGAACATAGCTTAAGGACAGATAAATTAGATTATTGTGTAAAGAAAAGTGAACTCACTTTCCCAACTTCTCAAATGTTGCAGCATTGGGCTTACTTAAGTTATTAACAAAAAGCTCCAGTTTGAATGCTGATGGATTTGTAGCTCTGTAAAGAAAATAAATAAATATCATTTCAAACACAAAATGTTCTGATGGATGATTGAAAAGTTATATGGTACAAACCTTAAGCAAGACGCAAGACATTTCTGCAATGCCTTAATGAGGGAAAGTAAGGTAAAACATGTTTCAGCATTTCACTACTGACTCCAAATAATAACATATGGTCTGCCAATCTTTGAGATCTTTTAAAATAATTTAACATTGCCCATATTAATTTTGAAACATCTGGCAGAAATAAAGTTACAACAACTGTTTTAAAATTACATTTCAAATCTTCGGAAACTTTAAAGACTGCTGCCATCTGTAGATGATCAATTTTATTATTTTCATCGAAAACCATGCTCAGTGAACATTTAGGCCCCATTCCCAATAAAACTATCATTCTAGGTAGATCTATCCAACTCCCTAAGGACCCTTGCTGAATGCAATCACGCCTCCATATTTCCAAGGCACTCGTAAAATCACCAGCTTTACTGTACTCTAGCTGATGTTGGATCAATCCATGTAGACCGATTATTTCAATTGGAATGAGCCCTGAGATATCAATACCCCCACTTCCCCAAGGGGTAAATAAAACAGAATAAATTAATTAAAATAAAAAAAATTAATAAATAAAGTACAAATAAATGCATAAATGCACTAATGTCTTAGATATAAGACAGTGTCTGCTGTCTCACCCCAGTCTCAGCCCTCCAGGGACATCAGCCCTGATCTTAGTTCCCAGTGGAATCACTCTCAGCTCATTGATCAGCACAGGTCTGGGAAACTGGACAAGGTCCAAGTTCAAATCCTAGAGAAACACAGCACAAACTTTGTATGTTTATATAAATAGACAGTTAGTTTATATATATATATATATATATATATATATATATATATATATATATATATATATATATATATATATATATATATTATATATTACTCCAGTCACTTTATGGACATGATTTTACATTAAAACAATAAATGCCAGTGGCACAGTGTAATACTAGTCATACAAAAATACAGCACAACACAGTGCAATAAACAAAAGAATATGACTCTGGATGCCAGTAAACACAGGAAATAAATTTGCAATAAAATAAGGTGACATAAAAGCAAAATATATAACTAGGTAAGAAGAGCTATGCACTATTAGGCTGGAGTGTCCAATGGACAACCTGACAATCCGTAAAACAAAATGAAGTTTAAGTAAAATCAACTATATTGATTACCTAGTTATATATTTTGCTTTTAAGTCACCCTATTTTAATCGCCCCCAGAGACTTTATTTCTGGTGTATTGCGCTGTTTTGCGCATTTTAGTATGACCCATATAATATTCTTACAGTGTCCCGTGTCAGAGCAGTGGGTAGAGTAACTTAAGATACTGAAACTGTTATTAAAAAGAGTGAAATTAAAAGGAAACCAGCTGTCAATCACCCACGCCTTTTGACTGTTTTCTATGTGTTAAGAATATAAAATAATTTTGATTAACCTGCAGCATTTGAGTATTAAATGAAACGGGGATCCCCATGCCCAATTTACAAGACGTGAAGCGATATCCAATGATTCTAAATTCATTGAGAATATCTGAACAAATAATCGTACAACTTAGACATTGCTTTGTTTTGAGCACTTAATTTCTACAAATGAAATGCAAACCACACATGCAATGTAATTACCTCTGTATTATCATGTGTAAATGTGTCGAAAAACAAAAGCACCTGTTCCTCGGTATCCGACATCTTGTTGGTATCAACATTCCAATAGATGGCACTACTATCAAGAGTTTTAAGGGTTTCGTTTCAACACAAAGACATCGCAAAGACCGAATTACATCTATTCATTGCTTTTTGCAGAGATAAACTTCTTGTTCTTTTTTCAAACGAATAATGGTATGGATAAAGTCATGGATTTTGTAGATAAAATGCACTCAAATAAAAGAAACCTCCTGACAGATGCCGTCTGCATGCGCCATCTTTCGGGTACATTTGATGAGAAGAGGTGTAGATATGGTGACATGCCATATCAGACCAACAGAAAGCCCTTTCATGTCATCTCAGGCACAAAAATAAGTCATATCAGGTCAGAGAGTTAAACACCCAAACATTCTCCTACCAATATTTTAGGACAGAAGGGGGGTTATAAATTTTACAGACGCAGTTTTTATTTAATTTATTATTTCCTTAAATTAGAACTTTCCTATTTTGAGTGGTAGCAACAAAATTAAAAAGCAGGATAGTCTATAGTTCTATACATGTAGCTCTATTCAATGCAGTGAAAGCACCACAATAGCTATACAGAAATATAATTTTCGTGACTGTAAAATTAGGTATCTGAAAGTTGACATTTTTCGCATTAAAAAGATCGAGCAATTACCGTATTTCAAAAGCAGCATCGAACACTCTGAGTAGGCTAACAATAAACTGATTAAGCAAGCTCAGACTCCCATAAGCAGCGTACATACGACTGGAAATACGCTAAACGCTCTCTGCTAGTATTGGTATTGCAAATTTTATCTTAATCAATCAAATGGGGATTTGCTATCTTATTCTAGTGATTAGATGTGCTATTCCCTTGATATGGTTTCAGAAAATCATTTCCTCTCACAGAAAGTTAATTTCTTCAGTCTTTTGCTGAATTATCTTTACTGAAACCAAAATTTTGTTTCTTGAAAGTGGTAATAACTTCAGGGTTATAGGTTAGTAATCCGCTATTATAGTAAAGATAGCAATCGATATATTTAAGACAATGTGATAATCTTGACTGACCTCCATAATGGCAATGACTGGGTCAACCTGCGCACTGTGCCGTCTGTTGGCTAAAGTAAGAAAAAGCTTTTCAGTTTATACGCACTCTCGCACGCGCGCGCGCGCGCACGCACACACACGCACACACACACCACTTACAGCTGGTATTTGACCACATATTCTTGACACCATCAAATGAGTTCTGATTCAAGATTAAAATAGATATAATATATAAAAATAGATACATACAGTAATAACATTAATAATTAAAACGTACATTCAAATATTTTTATTTATAGATAAAATCTCTCCTTAATTCTAAAAATCGACAGCAGATTTTGACTGTCTACACAGCCCGAAGGCCGAATTAAGGTTCTATGATCCAAATAAAAAAAAACTTGGTGGAATTAGAGGGGGTGGACAGGGGGGTCCTGACCCCCCTTCGGTTTCTGAAATAAAACACCAATAATCCTCATTTGAAATTAGAATTTTGATTAGCTAAATTATAGATGTAGTTCTTAACCGTACCAAAGGGCACTGTTTGCTCTCCAGAAAACCAAAAAATTTTCGGGGCCCTTGAGCAGGCCCCAAACCCCACACCAAGGGGGGGATGGTCGGCTTCGCATCCGAGGTCTGTCGTTCTGGACCCCCCCTACCCCCCCCTTCAAATAATCCTGGATCCGTCCCTGTTAACAGTCTAATTGGTAAATAAGTCAGTCGACAAAATAAATAAAGAGACCAAGCGTGTTTTTCGGTAGTCATACTAGAACCCACCCAACTGTATTCGGTCTTTGTTACCTGTACTCATTCATATGAACCTTGACGTTTTATCAAGGGCCTGACCACATGAAAGACCCGTCGAAAATCTGGTACAAAAAGTTTGCGTGTGTTTAAATGTAAGTATTACCACCCAAATTAATTAATTGGATGATGCTTGTCACCGTTCTGAGCTTCTGATCCAAGGATTTCGACTGCTTATTGCACAATGATTGACAGATACATATTTTACACAGCCTGTCGTCTCCATTGTGCCGTGTGTTGTCCATCCATTACACGGTTCACTGTATGAAAACTTATTATATATATGCAATATATTTGTTATAATTTTCGAAGAGAATTTATAAATGATCTCTTTCTCTGAAATGCATCAACATGTACTACAACACGTGTTGAAACTTTTAATATAAAGAGAAATATATTAACGGTCGTAGCATAACATCACCCACCCTGCAAATGAAGCGGGCTGTGCTGTCAATAGTACTTTTTTAACAAGAGGTCTCGAATAGTTATATCATTTAACTAATTCCAGATCATAATTTTGGTTTTGCGCTAGCTGAACCTGAACATCAAAGTAGTTCATTAACGTTAACGCCATTCCATTTATATGTGCCCTCTGCTCTGTGATATTACATTCATTATTAGAATGAAAAGAGCCTGTCTGTTTAGTTCAAAGTTTTAAACCTTATTTTATCTTTTCAGGAGCTCAACGAGATTCTGCACACCATCCGCCTGAAAGCAACCTATGAAGTCTAGCCTTTGTTTCACACACAGGAACCCACGCTCCTTCGAACATCTGTTATATGAAAACTCAATAAAAAAAAAAAAAAAAAAAAAAAAAAAAAAAAAAAAAAAACTTTTGTAATTTGAGAATTTATTTTTCACTTTGTTATGAAGTTATTATGATAAGGATAGTAGTAATCATAATGGAAAACGAGTTTTTTAGTGTTTGAGGACTTTCAAATTCAATCTGATCTGTAAATAATGTCAATGTTTTTGCGGTTGACGGTGGTCTGTGGTACCTAAATTTTAAATAGTAGTAAAATGACCAGTATTTTCTAAATAACCCCTCCAAGCTGTTTTAGTGAACTGAAAGAAAATATCTAAAATAGTTTCCAACAACCTACATTTTATAGTTCAAATTCATATAAGTTAACAATCCTGGTTTTAAAAAAATCACATGCAATTTTTGTTCTATAGCATATGGAACTAATTCGTTGGATATAATTTTTTCTTATATAGGGAGGGTCTCATTTCGACGGGTTCTGGATTTGCTATTGCGAAATTGTTTTAAATTGGCCACCTATTCTTAGTAAAAAACTTAATTTGATATTTGAACGTAATAATAAAAATTTGAATGTGGGATGATTCTGATGTAAGCTTAAAACAAGTTAGTTTCTTTTTTAATGGATCCATCTGAAATTGGCCAAAAAAATTTGATTTCTGAGGGTATAACATAATTTCTTCTGTTACTGTTCTTTGAACTGAATTGGGATAATTACACTTGTCACCCCTCTAATGCAATGGACTCGCCCCACCTGTCACCCCTCTAATACAATGGACTGGTCCCACCTATCACCCCTCTAATGCAATGGACTCGCCC